AATCCAATGATAAAATGCTAAAAGCTATATTAATACTGTAAATACATATGAAAGAAAATAAAATAAACAATCACATTATAAAACACCAATTTAAATCAAATGCATATGCTTTTCAGTACAGTAATGTTTGCATACCACAGTAAAAAAAAAATAAAAAAAAATACTGATTTAAACTACTGTTCAAAAGTTTGGGGTCAGTATGTTTGTTTGTTTGTTTTATAAGAAATATCCAGCATGGTTGCATTAAATTTATTTAAAGATATTCATACAAAACCTAGAATCTTATGGACCCCAAACTTTTGAATAGCAGTGTATGTTTTTCACAAATCAATTCATCCCATTAATGTTTTATTTCTTATACTTTCATCTTGATTTCTCAGATTTTCTTCTTCTTGTTCTTTTAAAAAAAAATAAAAGTCAGTATTTTAGTGCCATGTTAAAATAAAATAAAGAAAAATAACATAACTGAATTCTCCCAGAAAATTACTACTTTTATATTGTAATGTTATGACTTTATTCTCAAACATAATTGTTGAAAAATGCTTTTTATGCACCATTAAATATTAAGACCCACCCTAATAATATAAAACCCACTGGAGAATTAATATGAATTTCTTACATGACATTCCTACCTGAATGTAGAAAGTTCTTGAGGTAGTAACCAGTTCAAAAAGATTGTCCCTCATCATCAAGTCACTAAAAACACAAATCAATATCAGAAACAACAGAATTATGGGTAAAAGCTGTTGAAACAGCACAGCAGCACAGATGAATGATGGGAATGCTGTTATTGTTTATGCACTATTATGAAAGTCTGCCCAAGTCCCAAACTGCGGAACTTTTAAACATTGTGAACTGTCACATGTCAAAATTAAGATAAACTTGGCTGCCTTGAGTAAATAAAAATATAAGAAATGCCGCGTTTGCCTGACCTATCCTGAAAGAACACATACATCACCGTGACGTCTGTTCAGAGTGTGTGTTTTCATCCGGAAGATCCCAATTTTTCACTAACGTCACTAATGTTTCCTAAGAACGTCATTTGTCGGATGATTTCTCATTTATGATGCAGAATGTATGTGAATCTGCTCTGAAATGTTTTGCAGTTGTTTCTACTCAGTTAAGTTGGTTAAAATAGAGCACAATGCTTTCCAGATGATTTCCCAGACGTAATAACAATGTGTGCCTAGTAGGTTGTCCAACACAATCAATCACAGTTTAAATGCATGCACTTAAAGTTACAATGAAATAAAAGTAGCGACAGATCTTTTCTTCCTTATTGTGACATATATCTGATTGTAACGGATTATCGATAAAATGGATATCGATTTAAGACGTGGACTTAGTTCAAGAGCAAAGTCTGGCAATTTCACTAGGAAGGTCCTGTTACGACATTTTAATCAACATCACAAGGTCATATAAAATAAATAAAATAAAACAAATAATAAAATAAAATACAATAAAATAGATGTGTTGTTTACAATAAGCTCTATGACATGGGGCGTGGCAAAGTGTATTTGGAAACCATAAAACTAAACCAAACCAAACCAAACCAAACCACAAATGAAGCACTACTGACCTTTGTTTACACTCCTGCACCTTGTTGACTTCTTTCAAAGGAATAACGCGTAACGGCTCCCGCTCCTAAAAACAAAGTTTCATTCAGTAATCTATTAAAAATGGTCTTTATTTCATGTGAATGATTGAAAAAGCATTGAGCAAACATTCCAGCCATGCTGAGTGTGTGCAGTGAGGAAGTACAGGCCCGAGCAGGATGCTGCAGTGCGCACAGGCCTGTGATTATCAGCCCTGAAATAGCCTTTATTGACATCTACTGTATGATTTAGCCTTTGACCAAGCCTCGTTCCTATGCCTGCCCTCCTCACACACACACACGCACGCACGCACGCACGCACGCGCACACACACACACACACACACACATCACATCACATCACAGGTGTTTTTTCCTGTGGTGGTTAACAAATACAGTACTGAAGAACCATAGTAGTCCATAAGTCAATATTTAGATTGATGGAAATCTGAATCTGGTCATGGTTTGGTTCAGTTTAAATAGATCTGATTTAATACACTTGTTTTTGTATGATTTGTAACAGCTTCTCAATTGGAAATAGGTCAAGAATTGTATTCTGGATATGAAATGAAACCTTTAAACATTCACAGTAAGATCTGTAAGACTTTGTAAGATTTTGCTCATATGACTAACTCCTATTGATAATTGCATTGCATTTTCACTGTCAGAGGAAGAAGATCAGTTTAGTAGTCTCTATTAGTAAGAATAGTAGCTATTCTTAACTTCATGGGAATAAAAATAATTAGGCTACTATAAATCCGTGGGAAATAACATGTCAAAAAATGTTCAACAGGAAGTTGTGTGTTTGAATAGTGGAACGACTTTCCATTGTTCTACCGCCTCAGTCAAAACAATTTATAACCGTTTACCATGATTTTAAACCACTACAGCAAACAAGTGAGCCAATGTTGGTTTCTTTATCAGACATGAAGACATGGCAGTCACTTTATTTGAGAGGAAACGTATGTTGGATGCCAATCGATTGTCCAATCATCCGTACTCCAGTGAGTTTAGTGATATTATAGACATCTTGAAATTGCTAACCCAATGTCACTTTCAACTCTGGATTATGAAACTGTTAATTTCCCAAACCTATACCTGTAGGGTTAGTAATTCACGCTGTTTAGCTCTAGTACTGCGATTTCGAGCAGGGCTTCATATCTCAGGGTCAAAGGTGGTGTTAACCTTTTCAAAACTTACAAGTGGCCTTGACCCGGGGTTAATATGCATTACACATTTCAATCATAGCATAAAAAGCCTGTTCATATATACAATTTTTTATTTGGTATCAGCATTTTGCTTTCAAAAGTAGCTTTTCCAAGTATTAAAGGCACCCCAAACCCCAAAATTAAAATTTTGTCATTAATCACTTACCCCCATGTTGTTCCAAACCCGTAAATTCGTCTTCGGTCTTCGGAACACAATTTAAGATATTTTG